TAGTTGCATTTTCCAGTGCTTTTCGTATTATTTTTTTCTTTTTTGTTAGTTCAGAAATACTCCTAAATTAAATTATATTCCATAGACTATTAGAGCTGTAAGCTTTCTTTTTTAAACTAAATGTGAGGATACATTGTGCGATATCATAATTTAAAATGATTAATCTAATATGTTCAGAAAATTGCCTGTCTCCACAAGCACACAGAAAATTTATTATAATATGCGGGTGTGATCTTCACATCATAAATACTCTATAGAAGAACATGGTGCTTCAGTATTATAGTACAGAATAGCTATCCCAGTGGTGATTAACTGTCAAGATACATATTTCTAGCTGATTTATTTTCTAGTATGTTATTATAAAGGTGGCCTAGTAAATACAGATGGTAATATTGTATATAACAAGTGCCTAAATGAAAAAGAGTAGGCATGTAGAAATGTGAAAGTTTAGATTTAAAAAATAAGTAATTATGCCAATTTTCAAACAGGCAGAATTGTTTTTTCCACTTCCGAGTCATTTAGGACATAATCACCATCACTTTATTTAGAAGTTTACATAACAGTTTTGCCCTTAGGAAAAGGAGAAGGCTCATGTTTTATGTTACCAGTGTATGAAGCATTAGATCTTTGTGGAATGCATAAAAGTTCATACATATTCAATACCACACAAAGCCATGTTTATAGTAAGTCCAGGCCAATTTATTAATGTAAAAATCCTTGCATGATAATCTGATTTATTTGGTAATATTCCAGATATAGTCAGCAGCTACAGTATATCACCCTGCAGCTCTCAACTGGCTACTCACTGAACCTAAGCAGGGTTGAGCCTGATCAGTACCTGGAAGGGAGTCCTCCTGGGAAGCTATGGTTGCTGCTGGAAGTGGTGTTAGTAGGACCAGCTGGGGGCGCCCACCCTGCGGTCTGTGTGGGTCCTAATGCCCCAGTATAGTGGTGGGGACACTATACTGTAATGGGCACCGTTTTTCAGATGAGATGTTAAACCAAGGTCCTAAGATCTTAGAGGTCATTAAAGATCCCCAGGCATTTCTCGATAAGAGTAGGGAGTTACCCCGGTGTAATTGTCCCCCCTCTGCCTTTACTGTGGCCTCCAAATTCTCCCCATGTATGATTGGCTTGCACTCGCCCTGGGATAGACTGGCGTCCCGTCCAGGGTGTACCCTGCCTTGCGCTCGTTGCTTGCCGGGTAGGCTCTGGCTTCCCACGACACCATATGGTATTAAGCGGTTTTGTAATGACATGACATTCCAGGTGTACTGGCAGGGCTATGAGATGTGCTGTAATCTGCTTGTTTAGGAGAAGGAGTGACTAGGATTAATGTCAGAGTGCTTAGCTACTGGATGTACAGTATTTTCTACATGTTTTTCTTATTTAATTAGTTGTCCTATGTCAGGATGAGCCAAGACATTTAAATGTTAATTGCATTGAGCTGAAATATATTTCTAAATTTATATTGTAGTTGTATTCCTTTTTTTGCCTTCAGTGATTCTCTAAAGAGTGGAAAAGGAAGAAGCTAGAATCAGGTTGCAAAGCTCATGGGGTTTATTGCCTTTAATCTCTTACAGTTGTGTTATGATAGTCAGGGATAGGAGACAGAGTGTAGCATTCACTCACACGCCATGTGGTGTTAGAAAGGTGAACATGTGTGGAGGGAAAAAATAAGGGGATTCATTCCTGCAGTCCAGCTTCTGGGTTTGGAATAATACAAAATTTAATACATATACAGTATAACAATATGATATCACAGATCAACAACGATGAGACAATCTAATATTTTATATTTATCCACAGCAAGTCAGTCCTAGTTACTTGATACAATCCTGACTGTATATTTAAATATACAAAGTGAAAGTGTATATATTTATAATATTTCATCTACTGGTCTTTTTTCAGCTTAAAAGAGCAGAAAGTGAAGTAAGCCTATGTTGTATAAGGCTATAAGCTCTTACACAAATACAACACTGTACATACAGTGCTGTGAGAGTCTTAGCCGAAAATTTCAGCAGAGGGTGAATCTGGAGGCATTGTAATGATAAATCTCCTTTCCATTTGCTATTCACCTGAGGAATATAACTTAAACCAGTAATTATTTCTGATCAAGATTAGGATAATCTATATGCACATACTGTATACAAAAAGTAGAAGTATATTTAGAGACAATATCAAAGGACCCAGATTGGTTCCCTCTAGAGCACCACATGTATTATTAGTCATTTCTGGTACAAACTTTTCAAAAAGAAGAAAATATTGTCTCTTTTGTAAATATGAACTAAAGTCTTTTTTCATCTTAAAAGAGCAGAAAGTGAAGTAAGCCTATGTTGTATAAGGCTATAACCTCTTACACAAATACAACACTGTACATACAGTGCTGTGAGAGTCTTAGCCACTTTATACTGTATACTGTTAAGAGCATCAGCAATTTAGTGAAAGAGAGTACATTGTAGACATCCATAGAACTAAAAGGCAAGTTTATGTACTACAAAAACAGATCTGTCAAACTTAACATCTAATGCAAAGCAAAATGGTTACGTTTATAGCGGAATATTACCAGAGAATTGTGTTTTTGCATTAAAAATGAAAAACACTGAGTGAAAAGAGTAGAACAATGCAAACTACAGACTATTTATATTGTATATAAATATTCCATGACAGGTTTTGACATATTGAAATGTCAAACATATTGACAAATAGTGCCTTTGGCAAATAGAAAAGAGTTACATCACATTCTGTTAATGAAAACAACTGAGGTATTAGAAGCACTGATACACAATGAATCATACTTTCCAAAATATTCAGTTCTTAAATTCAGTTGGTGTTTAATATTTTTTTTCAAGTAAAGATATATGAGTCAAGATTTTTTTAATCTTATTATTTCAGAGTAACGTTTATATAATATATAAATATGAAAAATAAAAAATATAAATATGAACGATTATACACATGATAAAATCTACTGTACTTTGTATTTTGTAAACAGTATTTTGTATTTAGATCATTAGATCTTCTGATTATTCTTATATTAATTTAATATTCAATCAAATTAAATCCGACGTTTTTAGATTTCTAAAGAAAAATATTATTTTGTCTTCACTACAGAGTAAATTATTACAGAGGAATTATTACAATAAAAAATGACATTTTAAAAAGTCCCATTGTGGAAAAGAAAGGAAACATAATAGAGGTACATAATAGAATTAAAAAGAGCACAAACTGTAATCCTTTGTTAACAAGTTCAGGGACACTTCAACTATATTTCTGCTAATCTGCTATCTAGGGACAAGTAATCAGTGATGAAAATAAAAACAAAAGCAGATGGTGATGGTGACAATGTCCATGGCCTCTTGTACAGTAGTGATATATACTGTACAGTAAATAACAATAATCTTTATTTAGAAATTTAGCTTTTCATGACAAAACAACCTAAACACTTTACAGAAAACTAAAAGAAACATACACATAGAATGTACAAAAACTTAATAAAACACATAAAACAAATAGAAAATATAAAGTACAACTAAAACTTAATTCAAAATGTTTTTAAATGAGATTTAAAAATTTCAGCAGAGGGTGAATCTGGAGGCATTGTAATGATAAATCTCCTTTCCATTTGCTATTCACCTGAGGAATATAACTTAAACCAGTAATTATTTCCTGATCAAGATTAGGATAATCTATATGCACATACTGTATACAAAAAGTAGAAGTATATTTAGAGACAATAACAAAGGACCCAGATTGGTTCCCTCTAGAGCACCACATGTATTATTAGTCATTTCTGGTACAAACTTTTCAAAAAGAAGAAAATATTGTCCCTTTTGTAAATATGAACTTAATCAGCTCAGAACAGTTTAACAATGTCTAAGTCACTTTTAATGTAAAAAATGTCATGACCCAGAGTTTTAATAAGCAGAATTAAAAAGTCCTGAACTGGACTAATGTATTACTTTGACTTCCACATACTGTATTTTGTTTATTTTTTACTTAAACTGTAGCTGTTGAAATGCTACCTTTTCAACTAAGTGGAAAGCTTTAAATAGACCTGATGTTAATTGGAACTGAACTCTTGCCAGTTTAAAAAACTGCTGGAATCATGTCTGTTGAGAGAGGACTATTAATGCTGGCCAGGAGAACACTGTAGAGACTATAGAAAGTGTCTCCCAAAAAGTGAATGAATTATTATTTTATTGTTCTTCTTTTGCTTCCTTTGGTATGACTTTTACCAGGTTTGATACTCAATCAGTTAAATCACCTCATCACCTGTGCCTGATTAACTCTCTCACTGATTAGATGATTTATTCCTTGTGTAACAAAGTCACCTAAGTGTATCATGGTCAGTCATTAATAATTAATTAATTCAAATGAGACCAAAACATTTAGACACTATCCAAAATGCCTATCCATAGCAATACAGGTGTTGATACAGAGTAGTGATTAGGACTTAAGACTCCTGAGTAGACAGTTCAAGTGTTCAAATCCCAAGTGAGATGCTTCATCTACACTTTAAAACAGGGTACTCCAACAAATGCCCTGCTGTACACAGACATTCAGGTCACCACTGTAAATGAAAGCTTGTTCTCAACTGATGTACATGGTTAAATAAATTAATAATTTACAATAGAGTGGGGTGCCATGGTGAGGCAGTAGGTAGCATTGTTACCTCCTAGCCCTGATGGTTGTTCATTGCCATGGATATTGAAGACTCTGTGAAACATCTCTATTATGAAAATGTCAGCGCATCACAAATTTCTAACTCATTAGGAAACTGTGTTATATAGTCAAGAATGACAGTAGTTTATGGGATACCAATATTTGACAGCATAATAATAATAATAATAATAATAATAATAATAATTGCTTACACTTATATAGCGCTTTTCTGGACACTCCACTCAAAGCGCTTTAAAGGTAATGGGGACTCCCCTCCACCACCACCAATGTGCAGCATCCACCTGGATGTGTGTATCGTGTTCACAACTGGTAACTTGAAGATGGCTGGAAGAGGCAAAGGCGGAAAGGGACTCGGGAAAGGAGGCGCTAAGCCACACCGAAAGGTTCTCCGAGACAACATCCAGGGAATCACCAAGCCCGCCATTCGCCGCCTGGCTCACAGTGGTGGAGTGAAGCGGATCTCCAGGCTTATCTACGAGGAGACCTGTGGGGTGCTGAAAGTGTTCCTGGAGAACGTTATCCGCGATGCCGTCACCTACACCGAGCATGCCAAGAGGAAGACCATCACTGCCATGGACGTGGTGTATGCGCTGAAGCGCCAGGGCCGCACCCTGTACGGCTTCGGAGGCTAAACAGGAGCGGAACTTCACTGCCGGACCAGACCCCGACGTATAAACCCAAAACTTGACTTCTTCAAGTTACCAGTTGTGGACACGACACGGTATAATTTCTCTTAACCTCATGAAAACGTTTGTGCTACAAACTTTGTGCACCACAAAATCTTAAATGCTTGTAATGGTGAAATGAAAAATTAAGCTCATATTTGCTTCTGTTAGCCAGTAAAAAACCTGCAATTTCTATAACTGGAATCTTCAAGTCCACTACTTACAATAATATAATAAAGAACAATAATAAGGACCCATTGTTAAATCCATTTAAAAAAAAAAGCACAGTACACCCTTCGTTAACGCTGTTTATGCTGTTTATTATACGTTTACGCTGTTTATTATTATAACACTGTTAATTATAAGAGCTTGGATTCAAAATGTGAAATTATTATTTTCTAAGAAGAACATTTTAATTGTTATCCCGGGTTTCATCAGTGCCCTTGCAGTATAAAAACTCAATATGCTGTCTGCTGCAGCAAATAATGTGGAAATATCCAAAGCCAAGGGAGGTCATTACGTTTCCTGGCTAATACAGACAAGTGCTGTGATTCAGCATTTAAAGTATATGCTACTAACGTGCCTGTTAATACCTTGTAATGAATCAAAACAACACAGTGGAACATTGGAACTTCAGAAACAAAAGCAAAATCTGGTCACAGCTGCTGCTTGTTAGTAATTCAGGTTTTCTATTTGTCATGTCCCGGGTTGAAAATGTTCCCTAAGGAAATGCTTGTTGATCCTCATTTAGTGTGCTGATCAGTACCCACTGCTGAGTCACTAGTGGATATCTAGGCCACACTTTGTTTCACACAATTCAACTTGTTTATTTATCAAATTGAAGTTCAATTCCATTGAACTATAAAATATCAGAAATTAAAATATGCTCATTAGCTGTAAAAACTCAATTGTATAAGTCAGTCTGATTAATATGTTGCAAACTTTAAATACTTTTATTATGTTTTGCATATTTACAATAAATAAAACAAAATAGTTGTCTCATGCATAAAGATTAAATGCATTTAAAAAAGAATGAGATATATGTAGATATTTACTAATTATTAGTAATGCTCTAATACACTTCTACGTATATCAGTGTTGTTATACACAAGACTTTACTTTCTCTTAGCAAAAAGGATGGGCAATTTCCCTAATTAAATTCCTGTAGTACCGAGTGGACAATTTGTCTATTGTTTTTCCTACAGGAGAACAGCCTATTGATTTTTACTGGTTTTAGCATGAATTTTGGATTTGATATATGCTTCTTGATTTGAGTTTTGCATCAATTTACATAACCGATCCACTCTGTCTGTCATGCCCTCTACTCAGCACATTCTCGCAAACGCAGCCGCACTAATTACACTCCAGCCCTGGGCACTTCTGCCAAACGACACCGCCCCTGCAAATCGGCCAACCACGACACTTCTTCAATCAACGCACCTTCTTCCTTGCACAGTACTTAAACGTACTCTGAACCCTCTGATCTTAGCCTGGTATTGGTTGTTCTTTTGTATACCTAACTTGCCTCAGTTTTTGTTTCCTTCTTGCTCTTTGTTACCTAGCTTGGCTTTGGCTCACCTTTGGCTACGTCTACTGTCTTGTCCCTTTGGATTTGGAAGCCTTCTTGATTGACCTTCACCTTTTGATCACGGAACTGCCTTTTCGACTACGACGTCACCCTTGCCCTCTTTTGGATTGGAAACCTACTCTGCTACCTTTTTCTACGAACTTCGGCTCTCGACTCGGACTTAGTCTCTCGCCTAGTCCCTTAGGTACTGCATAGGATTCATCCTCCCATTTCTTCAGTGGGTCATTCGTGACTGTCATACTTATTAGTGTGCATGAAATAAACTGTTAGAATCTAGGAAATGAAGCAGCTACTGAGCTCCAAGATAATTGGATAATATGGACAGGTCAGGCTTTTTCAACATGCTCTCAATTAAAAAAAAATAATAATTCTACCACACTTCGATAGCTGTCTGATTTTGTCATTTAATATCTTCTCAGATATTTGTAATTGGTAGATCTGTACTCAATTATGTTGTTCTATCACAGCCTATGCAGAAATACCTTAGCTCAATTCACCTACTGGGAAGATTCCAGTTGTCTTGTCAGACAACAGCCAGACTCTTGTTTCCTCACCCAGGTATCTCAATACCACTCAGCACTAGAGAGTTAGTCTGATTCTATTAAAGTTCTGATGGCCAGAGTTGATGTCAGCCAATGGGTCAAAGAAATTAATAAGAAATTCTCACAATCTGTGCTCATTGTTATGATTTATGAGACTGTGGCTGAGGATAAAGGAATTTTACCTGTCTCAGAACAATTTTGAATTATGAAGCCATTTGGCATTCTAGTTGAGCTCACTAGTTAATATATTTCCAGTGTCTTTATTCTTCTAAAAATGGCCTTCTTTATTCTTCATGGCCAGACTTTGCAGTATCTTCTAAGACAATACTTAATCCTAACACAAAACATTTAGATCAACTGCAATCCCAGTACTTGTCACAAAAGGTCAAAATTGATCCCATGATATTGTTACATCAAACAGCTGTATTTCATGAAAGGGATATCTAAGCAGAGCTGACCTATATTATTTGTAATGTTATTCTCTGTAGGTTAAATGTACAGTATGTGTGTTGGAAAAAGTACACTATTAGAGCACTATCACAAATATGTGGTAGACTACCCTATTCTTTGCTCATTTTATAACTCAGTGGAAATCTTAGTTTAAGAACATGAACAAAACAGGAACACAGGGAGTAATTTTAAGCAAATACTGATGTGACATGCTGCTTCTGTTTGACCCATGTTTTCATCAAATGACAGATGCTTGTAAATTAATTTAATTTCAGAACAAAAATTCAAATTGACCATCTAATGAACAAATAAGTACAAATTTGATTTATAGTCCAATGGAAATGGTTGATAAGTAATTGTGTAAACAATTAATACTGCATATTATTTTCTAGTGAAATATCAGAGACTGTACTACACATAAAATAAAAAAACAAGATACTACAAGATGTGATCTGATTTAATACTGAATTGATGTTGTTTAACTAAAAAAGTAAGTCGCTTAAGATTTGAAAAAAATATTTTTTTCTGAAGAGTTATCACCTACAACAGGCATACCTGACTTCTATTTTTTCAAATAAATCTGTTCATTTTCCAACCACTTTACCCAGTACAGGGTTGTAGGAGAGCTGCAGCATAACCGGGCAAGCAATGAGTGCAAACCTGGATATAGCCTGGATTACATTTCAGTCTGTTGTAGGGCACACACAGACACTAACAGGCACACTCACCACAGGGCCAGTTTTACAGAAATCAATTAAATTACTAGCATGGCTTTGGATTCTGAAAGGAAACTGGAGCACCTTGAGAAAACGTTTGCAAATATGTGGAAAATATAAATTCTATGCATGTAGTTATCAACGGTATGTAAGGCTATGTGCATGGAGTGAAAACTAATTTTAAGGGTGCCTTAAAAATAAAAAAAAAGTTGCCATAATGGTATTATTCTAACTAAAATGGTCATGTAAAACAATAAATAAGGTTTAGTTGGGCTTAACTGCTAGCTTCGTGAACAGGGCACTACCTTCTTTCTGTCATCTTTAGGCTGTTAACTTTTTATCGATCCTTTGGGAACAATTTTCCTCTTTAGCTTCTGGTTTCACTAGTTGTCACAGAAAAAAAAATACAACAGATCAAACAGATTGTCCTGTTGTCATCTATGGTGTATGGTCTAAACACAAGACAGCTGTGCTTTGTTAAGTTGGGTATATTATTTTATTTCATTTTTTCTATCCTTTGCAGTCTTCCCAACTGCAGGCAGCAGACAGCTGTTTAAAGAGAACACTGATGATTGGCTGGCCATCTGACCCCAGAGACTACAGAGCTATAAAACCTAAACTGGCAGAGGGAAGTGCAGTTAAGCATTGAGAGACACCCTGCTCAGCAGTACGCAAGAGAAGGCAAAGATTAACGTTCATTCCTCTTTTCTGCTGGAATTGTAACCCAAAGTCAAAATGTGCAAGGGACTTGCAGCGCTTCCTGCAACATGTTTGAAAAGGTATGAAAATTTAATTGTCATAAAATACGTTTTTTTTAGCTAGCATCTCTAATGGAATTGAATACCATTGATACAATTTAGACTGTAAAATATATTTTTCAAACATTGTCATTCTGAGTTTACAGTACTATATGTGAAAAAAAGTACTGAACAATTTATTGTACTTTAAAGAAGTATTTTCTCCTTGAAATACTTGTGAAATTGAAAATAACTGTACCTCATTTAAGAGACTGATGATGAGAGGTAAGCTAATTATGAATATTTGTGTAAGAACTTAACAACTTTAAAATGCTTTGTTTTATTTAAAGAACACATACATGTTGCAACCTTTTGAAAAGATCTGCCATTATGCATTAACCCTGTAGATTGCTGTGGTGTTCAATGGAATATTGATTTAATGATTTAGAGTTAAGAACACTGTTTAAATGTTTTGCATGCTGTTATCTGAAATTGGTTGTCTTTGTACTGACCAAGTTTATGAATATATAAGCAGAGATAGAAAACAAAAATTAAATGTACCTCATTGTTCTGAAAGTTAATATTCCATACTCAAAAAAGAACAAAATACTGCAATGCAGTATAGTGTGATTAAATCTGAATACAAATATAAGTACAGATTTGAAGAAATGGTTCTCAATTGTGAATAAATGCCATGCTTTCTTGATTTTAACTTAGTAGTAGTACCTTTCACATTATATAATATATATATAATTTTCACATCTCCATGTGAAACCTTGGATGTGTTTTCAGGCATTATATCATTTTTTTTTCTCCAGTGCAAAAGATATGAAGCATCGTTTCGGATTTCTTCTTCAGAAGCCCGACTTGATGCCTGATCAGAATAATGCTAACCACAAAAAGGAGAAATCCTTTGGACCAAAGAAGTGAGTATATTAAAAAATCCAGTAAACGAAAAAAGGAGCACAATCCATTATCATAAAAGAAAAAAAACATTCATTGTAGTTCTCCTGAGGTGCAATAAACCTCCTTAAGACAGATGGTTTCATAGCACAAACAATATACATTATATATAATAAAATTTCCCTGCTCTTCTTCCTGCCTTCCTGTCCCTACACGTTTTATTAATACCTTGCAAGTGGCAGGTTGTATCACTGGTGTTATCTGCAATACATTTTATAGGAACCAGAAAAGCAACATAAATACTGTACAACTCCGCATTGAAATTTCAATGAGATAAATAGCAGTTAAAAACATAAATTGAATACAGAAAATTTTAGTCAATATGTATGCCACTATGTAACTATGTAAGGACCATAAAGATATGATTACTCTTATCGATTTAAGGTACATTAAAACACAATGATGTTTTACACTATAATTTTTCAATTCCTTCAGGATCAAAATTCTAAATATTGTTAGGAAGATCAGGTACAACATTAGAGACAGTATATCAGATTTAGGTAATTGGGTGAAAAGTAGATGGAATACTTATAAACACAATATTGAACATCTTTTACAGAATCTGTCCAGGGGATGCCAAGAAATGGGGAGAATCCTTAGAATCTTTAGTGAATAATGAAGGTGAGTAGTTTGAACAAAGTGAAAAGAAGAGTAATTCAGACTGTATCCATTTATCCACTGTATAGTCTGATGGCAGCGTTATTACCTCCTGGCCTGATCTTGTCAGCTCTTAGAAGCTTTACAAGGATGGAGTGGGATACTTCAAACTGATGTCACTGGACTTGTAGGTGGCAACTTTGCTGCCCGATAAATTGTCCAAACCAATGACAGGGACACAGTAGTAGGTAATATTCATTGGATATGGCCTTACAACAAGGTCCTGGCTACTTAGACATTGAAGATTAGAAGATTTAATACCAGAGTAGAGGTGTTAGACCCAGTGTCCTGGCTAAATTCCACTTTTGGCTTGCACAATTAGGCCTACCTAATTAATACAATAATACCTAAGATTAATACAATCTCTAAAACAATTTTTCACTCCTTCTTCTGATCTGCTGTGTGGGTTTGCTGGTACACAGTGACAGCCAAACCTCCGACAGGGGGATGTGGCACTTCAGTGGTAGATGAGGATGAGGATGGAAAATGGTTAATAAATGTAAGGGACTCTTATGATAATGATAAAAACTGAAATCATAGGTCTCTATTGCTACTTTCTCATTTTTTACTACTTTTATCCATATAGTGCACTGCATTTAGCACTACATTTGCTTAAAAATCGAATTGTTTATTATTGTAAAATGACAAACTCTTCATTCTACCCAGACAGTGTGTTATCTATTTATGCAGTAAGAGTGCCTAAACCTGTAAGAGTATAAGTTACTTATAAGTGTATAAGTGAGGTATGAAGCTATCAGCTTTGATACAACAGGAAAAGAACCCCCATCTATATTATTATTATTGCAGCTTAAGGTCTTACCTTTCCCACCTGCCTGGTTTTAGTGCAAAATGAATAAGAAATCTACCATTGTAAATGTGGCATGTTAATTCTGCTTTAATTTTTGCATAACAGAATGCAAATTCTTAGATATTATCCTATTTTCCATGATTGAAGTCTCAGCATAATATATATTATATACTGGCTCATGTTTTGAATTTTGAATCTCTTTTAGCCTATTAGGCATATAAAATGCACATTAAAAAAAATGTATTGTCCATATAACATGGTAAGAGCAAGAGAGTGACCTGATCGAGCATGACTGTGGACCTAATAAAGCTGTGGCATAGCAGGACTCTTAATATTTCCTCTGTGATATTCTTAATTTAGGGTAATGACTGTAATGTCTGCGTGTTAGGATATCAAGGCAATATTATAAATCAATTTCCTGTAGCTCATTTCTCACTGTGGATCCTCTTAACTAAGTACTGTATGTGCTCAGTTCTCATGGTTTCAACGTGTTGTACGTGTACTACAGCAGCCTTGGGTGGCCCCAGAAGGAGTACTTAGTTTATTTTGGCAACATTACAGATATAAGCCCTGTGGTGCTGCTGTTAAGGAACATCGACCTCCTGAGAAAAAGTCACATGCTGACCTTCCTTTTGCACAGTATCTTGCCGTGATCTGATGACCTCCTTTCACTTAAGAAAAAACAAGAAGCACAGTACATCGATTTTGGTTTAAGTGATTTTGATTGTTTTTTAACCCAATCAAAAAGGCTGGTGCTTTTTAAAAAGCAGCTACAGTATTGTAATTCTCAAAAATGTAAACTTTAAATATTAATTTTCCACCCAAAACAAAACGTGGATATTGCAGTATTTATGCTTTCCTAAGAGCAAAGATGTAATATTGCAGCCTTCTACATTTCATATTAATGGAAAGCATAAATAGGATAATGTTAACAAAGCAGGATAAACACAAGTAAAATAGCTAAAGAAATTCTAAATAAAATTGAAGAAAATTCTTTTTTTTTCCAGATGGCCTGGCAGCTTTTACTACATTCCTCAAATCTGAATTCAGTGATGAAAACATAGAGTTCTGGATGGCCTGCGAGGAATATAAGAAAACAACATCCCAAATAAAGCTGGCTAGTAAAGCTAAGAAGATTTATGACCTATATATTGCTGTTGAATCTGAAAAAGAGGTGTGTGTCCAACTGAAAAACCAAAGCAATCTGGCTTTATTATACAGTGATTGCACAATCCGGAATAGTCCATTGCTTACCAAAAGTCTTTGGAAACAAGGAATCATTAATCAACTGTTACCTTAATTCTGCAGTGAAATATTAACTATAGTAATTTAAAGACAAAGATTAAAAAGGAAATTGCTGTATCATCATGCTTAAATATAGTGAGAATCCTAAATAAATGTGTGTTTTGTGTTTGCTAATCCTGATATATTATTTTTGGTTGTGATAAAAAATAACAGCAGATTTACATATACCATGGTCAATTGTGTTAGGTTCCTGATGCAATATATGTCCCATTATTCTTTTTTTTCAGGTTAACTTGGATTCTTCCACAAGAGAAGAGACTAGAAAAAATATTGAGGATCCCAACATTACTTGCTTTGATGAAGCTCAAAAGAAGATCTTCCTTCTAATGGAAAAAGATTCATACAGGCGTTTCTTGAAGTCAAAGTACTACCAGGACCTTATTCAGCAGACTAGAACCATTACTTCTTGTGGCATGGAAAAGAAAGGGAAAAATCATATTCCTGATTTCAGTCTGTTTCTTCCACAATGTGCTTAAATACCTGGGCTTGAAACACCTGAAACAGATTTTCTGTACCTTTCATAGCTATGTCATTGGGCACTTCACTGTGGGGATGGGGTTCCTAAGCTGACATTCAACAAGCGATAAAGTTAACTTCTAAAACAGACCAGATTGTTTTTTTTCTTCCACTGCGTTATCAGGAATATAAACTAAATGTTAAAGTTTGAGGAAAGTTTGGAACATCAGTCACTCATGATAAAAGTTGGTGTTAAGTTAAAACTTTACAGTTTTTGAGATTTTTTTTTTGAAACATTAGGGCAATTAACGGACTACAAGGTTAAACTACTTTTTACATTTTTTTTTAAATTTTAAATACTCAATTTGGAGACAGTATACATACTGGGCAGTTTGACAAGAACTTTTGTCAAGAAGGGATTTTTAAGTTCAGCTCAGGAACCCTAATGTAACTCCTTACCATTGTTGCTTTCATGTGGTGTTAGAACCGATTTTGCTTGAACAACAAGTGAGTTTTAGACTTTTAGAAGATCTTCTGTATGTTGCACAGTTTGTTTATGTGGAAAACAAACACAAAAGGTTAGAACAACTTATCTCAAAACATTGCTGGGAAGAGACCTTGTATGGTCCTCTATATAACTAATGTACTGCGTTTTAGTTTTAATGTACTTGATATACGGTTGGTACTCTTTTCATGAGACTGTATTTCCTTCTTGTCTGTCTGTTTAAACATTCTGGTCTGTGCAGGTACTTAGTTTAAGTACCAAGAGGCACTAAAATCACATCAAATGAATACAACCAAGAACACTTTTTTTGCATTTTTAAAACCTCTGAGTATAGATTGGAAGAAGTGTCTAATTGTATGCAGATGTTTTGATCTAGACAATTGAAACAGTGCTACATTTTGGAGATTTCAGACAAACAGGAATGTCCCATATTATTATTTGCAAGGTTCAATAAATATTTTACAAGATGTGATTTAGGTCAAATAAAAACAATTTAGCATTAAATGTCATTTGCGTTATCAATTTCTTATTCAAGAAGCAAAATTAACCTGAAATATGATGATGATTGCTTTCTTGCAAGAGTTATTATTGTAATGGTGGAATGAAACTGGTGGTTACTGTTTTGGAAAAATATATATTTCTATTGTTTTACTTAAAATTGGGTGTACTTCAATTTTTAGAAAAATCCAAATGCTAAAGAAAATGTAATGTCTATTTACCTTGCATGTCTTAGATAACATTATATAAGCCTTGATGTGAAATTATTGAATTTATAGTAGTAATTTCACATATATGGTCAGACATATGAAATTGAATGTCAGGTTACAATGAACTAGTTGTTCTTCATGTTTTTAAAATTTTACATTTATAGTATGTTTTGTCTTACAAAAAATATTTAATAACTTATTTCATCATTTGATTGATGTTGTCAGCTTTATAGTATATATTATTTTTTTATAAAGTTTGATAAAGCAAAGGTTCACTACTACTTTTGTTGTTTAAAACTTGTTTTACATGATGTAGTGAAATGATTTTAATGTACTTGCAGCAGTGACAGTGGTATGAACGTCTTCAACTACCGTGAAGTTGTTTGGGTTGCATAAATGCTAGAGTTTAAATGTATGTGTTTACTTCTTTATAGGTACATTTTAAAAAGCAGATACTCTACTATTAAGGCTTTTAGAGATACTGTATAGTGAGTAGAGTAATTTATGAGCCTGCCCCTGAGGAGTTAGACATAATGTAGGAGCAAGACACTGAAACATTTACAGAACCTATAAAAACGAAAATTAATTCCTCCTTCTTTTAATGTCATAGAGCCTCAATGTCCTTCCGGCAAAAACTGCTATAACAAATTTTAAAAAAATCCAAGCAAAGGTCCGAATTTCAGAAAATCATATACCCATACTTATCGTTTTTCTGACCTGTAAGTAACAGTATGTTAAATTATTGTTTTTCAGTTTTTTTTAAATCCAACCTCCACTTCCCACTTTCTTCTTTTCTTTAAAATCCTTTCTTTTCACATATCCAGGTCTTTGTCTCTTTCCCCAGATCTTTACTCACTACCATGAACATGTACAGTAGATCATGCAGCTTCTCAGCCCTACCCTGATTAGCAACAGGTGTGAATTGTCTTCCAGCCACGGCACACCATTTCTGTCTATAAAACAAAAGAAACCAAGTTTGTTTCATATAGTTTTTGTGGTCTTCATTTTAACTATCCCTAGACACTGTATGGTGCTACTGTATATTTAATTATTTTTCATTTTTGCTTCTAATGGCAATATTGATCCTACTCTTGAAAATCTGAAAATAAACTCTTCTGAATCAGGATATTTAGTGAGTTTGCAGAGTTTTTTCCTAACTTAGCTTGACTTAACTTTGCTCACTGTTGACCTAATCGAACCATTCTGTGTTTACAATTTGAGCAATATACTGCACCTTGCTGAAAAGTACAATAACAGCATCTCACCCATGAATTGAACCCCCAACCTTATAGACCGCAGTCTAAACCCCTAATCATTTTGCCAGACTGCTGTTCCTAAGATATGGACTGTTATTATGTTTTAAAGATTATTTTTATTTACTCTTTTTAAATGTATTATGTTGTAATTTAGGAAGAGTGTTCATATCTTGTTAAAAAACAAAACCAAAAAAAAGTATGATCTTTTTGTTAAGTCTGGCTTTTCCAATGTTTATTTTATTCCACTGATGAGAATAAACAAAGCAGCCCACTAATCTAAACAGTTACTGTATACAGTATATCAAAGTATGCTTTAAGAAAACTAACAATTACAGTTAAATAAAACAATTACGTATGAGAAGCATCTAGAAGCCTAGCATCTTGATGGTATACTTCTCATCACTGCATTTAGCAGTGGGAGGACATCTATTGTAAGATGTGCAGAATGAGAAGAAGGCAATCTGACTTCTGGATGAACGCTTGTGTCTTTCAGTTTGAAAAAGAGTCTGTGTCAGAAAAAAAAACACATGAAAGTTATTTCTATTCCTGTAACAGCAGCTGCAAGGTTAATTTAGTTGTGAATGCATCTTTCCAATACAAAGTGCACACATTTATGCTGTAACTACTACTTACTGTAGTTTTGTTGATAAGCATTCAACTGTGCTATTAAAAACGTTTAACCTTGACAGTTGTTCTTATTTGTTGCATTAAAACTATTACAGTATGTCAAATCCTTATAATTTAAAACAAGGTGACATGGTGGTGTAGTTTGGATGTTCTCCTTGTGCCCACAAGGGTTTCCACCAAGTGCTCTGTTTTCCTCCCACTGTCCAAAGACCTACTGGCAGGTTAGTTGGCTTCTGGAAAGAGTTAGTTGACCCTGGTATGAGTTGTGTTTGAGTCTGCGGGTGCTTTGAGATGGACTGGCATCCCGTCCAGGGTGTAACATGCCTTGTACAAGTTGCTTGATGGGTTAAGCATTGGTTCCCCTGCAACATCTATTGGATACGCTGGTCAGATAATGGATGGATGGATGGATGGATAATTTATAACAAAGTTAAACATAATTTATTTTTGCCATGACGAGTGCCATGCTCTGAGGAAATGAGGCTTTACTGTAGGCTTTACAAACCCAAGAACAGTCAAGATGGAGTGAACAACTGTATGTACTTCGAGCAGAGACAACAAGGGCAATACTGTCCACTAAAGTCTGCTGACTGGTCCGGAAACAAGGGACTCCGTTCTCACCAGGATTTGAGCTGGTTCCTGTGGCTATGTTCCCAGGGAAAAGTGGCTACAAGGGTGCTTCAGACCTGGAGACACCCAGGCTTCAGGCAGACTAGAGAAAACAGGTACAGGACATGAATGAGCCACTAAAGTCCAGAATTGTGCTTCGTCCAGTAGGCATCTCAGTGCGGAGGGGTCCGATCTTCCAGGGTGGGCAAGAAACTCCAGTTTGGTCCGAACAAAGGGCACAGGAGAGGACCAATTCAAGGCTCATGCCCTCAGGGTGGTCTTTTCCACAGACCAGGCCAGGTGTGCCCTGTCAGCAGATTCTCCTGGAAGGCAGTCTTCCAGGGAAACGCCTCGAAGAGGTTGGAACCAATTTCCCAGGTGCCACCTGGACCAACAGAGACATCTGTTGCAGTTGGGTTCCAGCTTCAGACCCAACCTCCAGTCCTCTCTCAGACACTGGAATCTTCTGGACAGCACAGCTGAAGCAAGCAGAACTCCCAGACGGAGCCTTAAGGAACTGGAAACCAGGAATAAGAAAGGCTCCACTGGGGCGCTGGATGGTGACCCATCAATGCCAGACTGTCGAGGATAAACAGTGCAGGGACTAAATATCTTCAGAGCACCCACTCCAGTGAGAACTCTAACTACAGTCAGGTGTTCTGCATCACTTGTCTCCAAGGCAGGGCAGAACTGTGCCCACCAGCCACCTCAACTGCAACATATATGACACAATATACGGTAGCACAAAATGGCAGGTGTAGCACCTCCCCACTGAGCCAAGCAGGGCTAACCATTTTTTATATGCAATATACTTTATAACCACATTCCATGGCTAATATTGCATTGACAAACAGGGGGGATGTGCAGACACCAGTTGGCTCTGTTTGGTGAAAATAAGGAAAGATAGAAGTGTAACAATATTAGCACAACAGAGATTATCTATTTTCACGAAAGGCTTAGACGTAGTTAGGGTAGAAAATAAAAGAAAGATGACTCATATTTTAGGCTTAATCTGATTATAGGATACTGGAGTTTTATTCAGGAAATCATTTTGGTCTGTTTGCAAGTTAAACCAAAGAGCCTCTGTTAGGAAATGATTAGTGCTCTTAGTGCCCTAGTTAACCATTAGTGGTTTAGATTGGTATTGCCAAAGCCTACATGTTTTTTGCCTTTCTAAGTTGACTAAGTGACTGTTGTAAATATTCTTCACTTTTTAAAAGTCCCGTTTTGTTTGTATTTTGTCCTATTATCAATTGTCAAATCAAAATAAATTTACATTTGCTTATGGATGTCAGAAGAGGCTGATACCACTGCTTCTATAACTTATTACTGTTTATTATCTAATTTTCCAACATCTTTCTATACATATAAAAAGACAACAATTTTTGTTTTCTATCAAATGTTGCTCATGGCGATAAAGAATGGTATACATTTTCATGTTGGAGAGTGATTCTCTGAGGGTTTACAGACAATGACCAGGGAACAAGTATAGTCAAAGGTGAAGAACGTTTTTTTTTATCAGTTGTAGTCCCATTTCTTAACTGAAATCTGAAACTAGATTATGATTAAAATACCACTTAATATTTAAAAAAAATATTTAAATGTTTCAATAATATTATCTCACCAAGGTAATATGACTACTTAGCCACTAGAGGCTCTGACTAGAAGTCTCCCAGCTGCTCTAAAAATAATTTTAAAACATTATTAATAACATGAGGTTCAGAGGCCTACCTCTGGTTCCAATGAAAATGAGGTAAAGGTTAAGAGCAGGAATCCAAAAGGTCTGACAGTTGGAGTTGTAAGGTGTTCTGTTTACAAAATCGCAGTTGTTATAAAAAACAGTTAAAAAAGAATTAGCACATAATTAAAGATGACGACATAATGCACATCCACAGTTGTATGTGATATAGTTAATGTAATTAAGAATTCAATAGTTTAATTTAAGTGAGAGAATTTCATATTTACAACAGGGAGACTGTTACCATTTATATAATAAAACATTAAGTGGAGCAATTTGAATTAATTACTTTTTGCTGAGGGTTAGGTGTTTGAATCTGTAACCCTCATGTTCAAAGCTCTAGCCACGACTTCACATTGTCATATGTAAAGAAAGCTTGAAGGAAATGAAATTCTGTGTGTGGAACCCATGAGCCAAACCCACTTTGGAAGCATATATCATATTTATAGTCTTTAAGTTCATGTGCTGCCTAAGAACATCCTTTATGGAGTACTCCAATAATGCTTTTCTTTCTGTAAAACTGAATACAGCACAGATAATTTGTGGAACAATCACCACCCAGTTTACTATCCTGTTATCAGAACAATAGCAGGCTCGGGACTGACAGTTGCCTCTCATGCTACTGCCCTGTCTAATGACAGTATGGGAGTCATCAGAGTCATCACACTATGCCCCTGGGTCTGGGTCTACTGTTTTTCCGGCAAGGAATGCATGTTGTCCAATCTCAGATGTGGTAAACTTGTAGTACTTCATAAGGACTGGATGGCACTATATGAGGAATAGGCTTCTCTTCTAGGGAAACAAAGCCTGAAGTGCTGTATGGTGGAGAGGACCCCAAAGACCCCACACCAATAGCTAATCTGAAGTAAGGTGGCCATTTCTGATCAGCTGTCTTTGTTGTGAAGGGCAGTTAGGACTGAGTGATGGGAAAGGTACAGTAGTCTGGTCAGGATTCAGGGACAGTGTGGTGGCTCTGTGACTAAGGATCTACACCTGTGGCTGGAAGGCTGCTGGTTCGTACCCTGCAGCCAGCAGAGGAATCTCACTCAGCTGGGCCCCTGACCAAGGCTTTTAACCCCAACTGTGCCATATAAATGGCTGACCCTGCGTTCTGACCCCAAGCTTCTCTCCCTGTCTGTGTGTCTCATGGAGACAAATTCCTAATATAAGAAATTGTTACATGGCCAATAAAGTGATCTTATTTATGGAATATGGAGACTCTTGAGAATGATTAATTTGTACGGTGGTTAACATGGCTGCCTCGCAGTGCTGGGGCCTTGCGTTCAATTTCAGCGGTAATACCTACATGTTTGTATGTTCTCTCCATGTTTGTGTGGGTTTACTCCAGGAGCACTGGTTTCCTTCAATTCACACAAGCCTCTAAATGTAAGCAAATATTTAAAAAGTATATTGCAATACACTTGATAACAACATTAATAACCTAAACATTTGGCTACAGTGAAGGAAAATAAAAAAAAATGTAATTTAGTGTAAATAACATTTACTTTGTTAGGTGTACCACAATTATTATTTATTGTTTTTTTAAACATCAATTACCTACTTGTAGACGAAAAGTACAATGAATAAACAAAATGTTTCTTTGATCTGCCAAGCTGTGTTGGCACAAGGAGAGGTGTCTTCAGCCTCTTCAGAGAAGATGTTAAACACATGAGCGGAAAATTTAATGAATTTGTGAATAGAAGCGTAGTTTTACTTGCTGTTCTTTGCTTTACAGGTTTTTAAGTCTTTGCTAGAATATGATTCTGCATAGGATACTAAGGCCCAGAATTATTTGGCTACTATATGAACATGCAGCCTAGTTTAATCTTGCTACAGCTGTAATCACCATTTTCCAAACACCCAGCTATAGATAAAATATGACAGGCATTGCTCCTGAACAAAATCACAGCTCTATAAACAAAATGACTTTAAAAATAAAAATATTATCAAAGCAAAAATAAATATTAGCTTCAATAAATGACACGTCAATTTCTTCATTGTCCAACAGCTATTATCAGCAACATGCTCATAGATAATGTCTGAAGCTTAATGTGTATATGTCTTGTCATTTAATTTGTTTTTTTAATGTTACACATTTTACTTAAGGCAAACTACATTATTTTACCTAATAGCTTCAGGAAAATGTGGGACTAAGTAAATGCATGCAAACAAGACACTTTAAATTGTGCCTTATAATGTTACCTAAAAATGTTAGCAATACATTACTTGAGGGCACTTTTAACGCTAAAATAAAATTTTGGACAAAATCACAGATGTGCTATTTGGTTAAAAAAAAAATATACCCCCAGGTGTTTTCATATCTATCATACACACTGGAAGAAATGTTACATTGTGCTGTGAATATTAATTCCACCCAGAGTGTTTCCAAAAGCAACTACTACTAATAGTATTCATTAAACACAGGACATCTGTGGCTGATTTGAATCAATATAAGGGTTTTTAATATATTAAAAATTATCAGGCAACTGAAATAATGGCAATTCAGATTCTTTATATACTTTAACTAAAAACATTTTAAAATTGTGAATGCTTTTAATTCTTCACTGTGATAGGTGGTATTAATTTCACCACCATTGCTTTCTGTTTATAAACCACGAGCAAGCTATTTCAAAACAAAAAGGTATTTTAATGAGTTAAGTTTTCCCATATGTATCCATGCTCTTCAACTACAAGTTCCAGTGCAAGTGTGTTGGTTTTTGTTTGTCAAAATATAATGTAAAGATTACAATAAATACAAATTCAAGATAGAAGAAATACATGTGAGCATTTATTTTATATTAAATTAATCATTCTTAATTATTTGTAATTAATTACCAATTATGATATGATGGCTTACTAAACTGTGCCTAAGACAATGGTTCATTAGTTTCTTGAAAAAGGATACCTTAATCATACTAATTAATATAAATATTTTCTGTTGCCATTAAGCAATTATTTATAAATGGAAACATAGATAAATAAATAGATTAAAATACAAAGCACAGTTAAAATAGAGGACAATATATTGGCTTTTATATTCTTACAATATCCCTGTAAGGCATAAGAGCAGACCAATTTATTTTTCATTCAGTAGATTTTAACACACTTCAGATCCTAAAATCTAAAGTGGTCCAGAAAATAGAATATTTGGGGGATTTACTTTTCACATAAATGGCAATGACAATTCAAATGAAAATTGTAATTGTAATTAAAGAGAAACATGTACAGTAGGTTACAAAATACTATTATAACTGAGATATCAGATCTTTCTACACCGTCATTCCAAACAATGACGGTCTTACAGCCCTCAAGCACACGCTGGACAAACACACAGGGCTCGATCCACCCAACGGATCACACCCATTTTGTCTTGCGGAATTGGTACTCACACTCAATGCCTTCTAATTCAATAACCTTTTTTACCAGAAGGTTAGTAGATATGCCCCGAGCACCAGAATGGGACCCAGCTATGCCAATATTTTTTGTTGGTTGGGTAGAAGAATGCTTCTTCACTTCCAACACTGGCTTTATCCCTTACCTCTACAAGCGATAAATTGATGACTGCGTCGGTACTGCCACATGCTCTAATGACCAGTCACTTCACCAACAGTTAACATATCTTCTACTACTCTTCCATTTTTAGACATAAACCAATCCATTAACCATCCATACAATGAACAGTTTGTTTGCTAGTCTGAATTGAAAAGGTACTCTGCCTCTACCTGTTGACACAGGTAGTGTCTACCTGTGGTAACCACAGTGAAACGTTGATTTAACCAACCAATATCTTGAGTGGTAAATAGTGAAAATATTTAGAAAAAAACACAGTATGTCACATTTATTCATCTAAATATTTTACAGATGTTTTGTGTTCTTCTTTCTTATGTGAGATTTTTTCATATTGAATTCCTTCACTAAGAATCTTTACATAGAATGAAAGTGTTAAGCTGATATGAAAGAAGGGTGTTCTTTTTTCATTAGCTTTATACAGTAAATTAAAAAGTTTAAAAAATGGAAAACTTGTGTGTTTCATGAAGGGATATTTTTATCGCAAATGTGTGTTAGAACAAAACTACACAAATTCAGAATAATGATAAACTTTGGTTGTGAGCGTTCTGATAATAGATTTAATTATCTATGCGGGCAGATGGAAGAACAATGTATTTGATACACAAAAAATATTACAGTTTAAACTTTTTAATTTACTTCCCCCCCCCCCGTACCTCGTTTATTCTGGATTCCCCTTCTGCCTTTTCGACTTTGCACCTCGCCTCTCGCCTCGGACTGTCTGCTACCGGATAACTTCCTGGATTACGACTTGCCTTTCGCCTTTTGACAACGACCTTGCCTCTCGTTTTGGTTTGTTCGCCTGCCTCATCTATCACCCGTGTCTGCGTCTGCACAGGATCCGTGTATCTTCCCACCAGGGATTCCTAACACAAGCTCGGTATCAGCAAAATGTACTACAGCAAAATCTTTCAATGATTTTTCTCTGCATTTTGCTATTTAAAAAAAATACTGACGTAGGAGGCCTGCTTCTACATAAATAAAAAGTTCATCAAAGTTCTTAAAGGGTAGCTTGGTGAGAAATATTTCATAGCAAATCTGTCTGTATGTCTTTTATAAGTGATACATTAAAATATAAAATGTATTTTGCCCATATTAATTTTGTTTAATAGAATTTGACCAAACATTTTCTGAATAGAAAAATAGAAACACTTTGGTGAAACATGAAATTATTTTGGATGTCTTTTTTTTTACAATAAATAGTATGTATAGTTATCATTTTTTTAAGCAAAGAATACCGAATTCTCGCCTTTATGTACTGTGTTTTCCTATAACCACCAATTCTGAAGGCTTTACATAAACCTACAAGTTCAGTTTCCAATGGTATTTGCGGCTTATCCTCATTTTAGGATTTGTTTTTCTTTGGTAATTATATTCTTTAAAACATTTACAGGAAAAATGCCATTATGACTCGCTGGAATTCAAGAGTATCCTCATTTCTTAATTCTAGGGTGTACCAAATTTGAAGGAAGCATATACTGTATTTGCAATTAATTACCTTGCAACTCACAACTGACAACCCACTGAAGCTAAGCAGGTGTGAGCCTGGTCAGTACCTGGATGTGAGACCTCCTGGGAAAAACTAAGGTTGCTGCTGGAAGAGGAGTTAGTGGGGCCAGCAGGGGGCGCTCACCCTGCAGTCCATGTGGGTCCTAATGCCCCAGTATAGTGATGGGGACACTATTCTGTAAACAGGTGCCGTCCTTCGGATGAGACGTAAAACCGAGGTCCTGACTCTCTGTGGTCATTAAAAATCCAAGGGCGTTTCTCGAAAAGAGTAGGGATTTGGCCCCTGTGTCCTGGCCACATTTTCCATTGGCCCTTACCAATCATGGCCTCCTAATAATCCCCATCTATGAATTGGCTTAATTACTCTGTTCTCCTCCCCACTGATAGCTGATGTGTGGTGAGTGTTCTGGCGCACTATATCATCCAGGTGGATGTTGCACATTGGTGGTGGTGGAGGGGAGTCCCCATTACCTGTAAAGCGCTTTGAGAGGAGTGTACAGAAAAACGCTATATAAGTGTAAGCAATTATTATAATTATTGTTATCATGCAATCCAAGAGGATAATGATCAAAATACAAGAAGCAAATAAGAAACTTTTTTTTCAGAACAAAAGAATAACCAATAACAAATGCAAATGACGAAACATTGATATACTGTAATTTCCTTTATCTCTATTGTGCTATTGTACTGCTGATGTCCTCTTTCCTGCTTTAAGAGAAGCAGTTCTTGCTCCTGTGTTATTATAAGAATAATTTAAATAAGTCATGGTAAACAATATTTACAACTATAAAAAATACATCTTGAAGAACTGAATGTATTGATGCATTTTTATATTGTTGACTACAAAAGTTACATGCACATATTAAGTCATATACTGTATGAAATGTGTAGTATTTATTCAATATGTCCTTATTTACAATTTTTCTCATTTTGGGCACAAACAATTTCAGAACAAAAAATGAAATGTGTTCAATCTTAGACATTTTAGGTTGAAATCTGTAAGTTTTCTGTTTCACAATTAGCATAATATCTGATACCTAATACCCGAAATAATGTTATATTCTTAGTAATTATATTGGTATTCTAAGGGTGTCACAGATCTTTTTTTTAATTTTGAACAAATGAGGGTTTGTCAAGTTTAAGGGTTAAGATAATAACTGCAATGATAGGCTTCTATTGAGCAGTATCTAATTTAATTTGTTGTTTTTTTTACCAGCAAATAAGGACATTATTGATGACAATACTACAGTATATATATTAAGTATAATAAAATCAATAACTAATAATTAAAAACATGCATATCAAATTAAATTTCATACATATAGCAGGTTAACATACAGTACAATTATATGTGGTTAATATTATAACATGGATATAGATTTTAAAACAACAGGACAGATTTAAGACCATTGTATATAATTGTAAAGGGTACAGATTGTGAATATGTGAATTAAGTAAATCATATTATAACTGTATCTGAGGTGAACTATGAAAGGATCAATCAATGCAACAGTGTAAAAGTAGACAAGACAAATATGTTTGCACTTTCTTTTGAAAATGTATGTTTAGATAATCTGTGCAATAGGTAAGACATTAAATGTAAGGTAGAAGCAACAATGAATCCTACCCTGCTAATTTCCATTTTTTTTATTGTTTCAATATAATGGTGAGCAATACAGTAATATATTTCTATGTAGCAAGTATGTGTTGTCAAAATGATTCACTACAAGGTTGATTCTAACAATTGTAAGAGCGTAGTGGGAGTTGTCATAGCTAAATCTAGACAGAACAATTTTAGATTCATCCTTATTTGGATAAACCATCCTTCTGAAAAACAAATACTTCTTACAGTTTTATTTAGTTCCACTCATTTTCATTATTCCCATCATATCAACTTGCTCTGCAGTGATGTTGTTGTACGAAAACCACTTAAACCCACTTTATATACAGTATATATCTATAATGTTCCCAGGCGTTGTATCCTATCACATGACAAATTTCCAGTTTAAGATGTTGTGCTGGAGTGTTCCTACTAATTTAGATGTTTATTGTTTTGCTTTCTTACATTTTAAGACTGTTATGATTTTCCAAGAGATTGCTCATATTTTTAAGGTCATTGTGATTAAAGAATTATTGTTGGATTCAGTTTAGGTCAAAATAGGTCAGTTTTCCTGCATCCTACACGCTGATTCTCACATGAGTTTTTTGTTGTATATTTTAAAAATATGAACTGGAATGTATTTTGCGACAACTGCCATATTTCCATTTTATTGAAATAAAAAAAATGCACAAATCCAAAATGTAGGGATGCATGTATAATACAGGCTCAACAAACATTAATTGCTTTTCAACTGGGAAACGTTTTGCATAAATTTTCAGGGTAAAAATGTGAAAAGGGGAATCGCTTTCAAATAATACTAATGCTTCAATAGAGTAATATATAAAAGGCACATATTACACCAGTTTACTACATAACATAAAAGGGAAGAAAAACTACAGTGGAGACAAAATTTAAACTGAACTGACAGCTTTACAGTTGGTGCATTGGCATATTTGAGGCTGTGCAAAGCTATTTTGGAAACAATAATATTTAATAGAATAATGTTGGAAATTATTACTAAGACCGACAAATGTTTACAATAGCATGGATGGAGATACACCATTAAATGAGGGATGAACTGCAAATGTTTGTTACAATAACATCTAAAATGGAAATTTTGATTTATTTTTGTCATCTCCAATTGAAAAATTACTGAATTGTTTTGTAAAAAATACCATTTTATCTTAGCAAATGTTACAATATAATTGATGGTGTATAACAGTGTATCTTTACTTTCATGTGACCCTGATGTTTATGGTTTTTAGAATGTATGGACAGTATAACTAATGTCCATACCGTACATAAAAACCTAGCACATGTTAAACTTCCTCATCCTAAATGAAGAGCTTGATAGAAAAATTGCAATTGACACAGTGTGACACACAAAGAAGCAAATGAATTACTGTGCTCCTGTTAAGTTACTTTACTGTAAATAAAGGATTTGAAGATGCTTCATCAGAACATATTGGATCGTGCTATTATAGTAACCAGAATGCTTTGCACAGCCTCTTCCCACAGTTACTTGATCAGTTCTTGATATTGCTCTGACCGCAAAAACCTGGCAAACGAGTCCTTCTCCATCAGAGCATGGATCCTTTTCTGGGCAAGATCAAAAGCAGAAGGAGATACTTCCACGAGATTCTTCATAGTCACCTCTTTGGTGAAGTGGTCAATGTTAACCTATTGACAAGAAGGTGATGAATAAACTTTGGAATTAGTTTTGCTTTGCTTGATAAGAAGCCAAAAAAACTGGGTGTACTAACATGCCACAGATGAGCTTAGCTTCTCCAAAAAAGTGTCAGCTTCGTGTGGCATAAAGTCCTTTCTATCTCTAAGAACATAAGAATAATATGAGATCAGACGTGTTACAAACAATTTGAAAATATTTCACCTATCAAGCTCATTTCTTGAAAGAAACCAGGATATCTGCTTCAATAACATGGATTGGTACAGTAGATTGTTCCATTCTTCCACAACCCTCTGGGGAAGGAAGTGCCTGATGTTCTCAGGATTTAAATGCACTTTTAAATAATTAGCAGTTCTGCTAGCTAGTTAAATAGTTAACACATAGTACTGTACATCATCTTAAAATGATACATAGCAAAGTATCCTCATTTCAAATCACAAACCTCTTTAGGAGCTTCTGTTTGAATGAACTCCTCATAGATCTTTTTAGCTTTGGTGGCAAGCTTAGTAGGGGATTTGGTCTTCTTGAAGTCCTCACATGCCATCCAGAATTCAATATTCTCCTCACTGAATTCAGACCTCAAGAAGCTCCTGAAAGTGACCAGACCATCTGAAATAAAAACACATGTCAAAACTTTCTGAGTTCATAATAAAGGAGTGAAGAATCAGATGGGAAGAATTAAATCTCCCAATTACAATTAATGAAGAATCTCATCTTTTCCATATGTTGAAGCTACAGTATGTTACTGCAATGGAATCATGCCATTAAGGACAAGGTCTTCTAGATTTCTAGACAGTGGTCTTGCATCTGTTGCAGGTTCATGCATTTTCTATTAAAGGTAATGAGTTAAAAAAAGTCAAGAAGTATTAACAGTTTCTATTAATAATGTATGAAAATTGATGTAACCCTTAACTGACTCTAAAGTACAGTATGTGCTGACAGTAAAGGATTTATAAATACATATTGGATACTATAAACATATATAAAGTTTCTTCAAAGTTACTTCTGTTTCTTTTTCTTTAAAAATTGAATTGCTCATCAAGTTGCCTAAAAGCCCCACTTTATTGGCAAATTAAAGCATTTTATTTCAATCCATTAACCAAATAAGGAGTTTGATCATTTCGTTGTATATAATGTCAAATGAAATGTATTGGGTGTTTGCAGATGTTTTCCTCAAGGCAAATTATATTGCGAATTAAATATGGCTGCTTTCTGCTGCCAGAGGCATATTGCATCTAACAAGTAGAATGCAGCATCAAGTGCTACATTAAGAATTCATGACTTGAAGAAATTTGAAGTTCTGGTTCAATTTAGGCCATGGTAGTTAATCAACTAATTTAGACACACAAAGTATAATGAAATGCAATATAATGAGAATTGAGCAATGAGCCATGTTGTGCCCATGACTCTTGACGGAAGAATAATAGCTCTCCAAATTTCAACCTTGTGCTAAGGATCATGGTTAGAATTGTTAGTGTAGGGAGAGACTAATTAACCTACCAGTAACCCACCTACAGTCTGTGGATTATGGAAGGAAACAGGTAGTAACCAACACAAACATTGGGAAAACATATAACTTTAAATCCACATTTAACAGTTAATCCAACATGAAATTGAATTATCTTAAGACTCCTCTGGAGCTCAAGAGAATTTTCATGTATTCTTTAACCACATAGCACTTTTCCAGACCAGCTGAGCTTCAATGAGTCTTGCTTTGAATCAAAATAGCAGTGTTTAAACTTTCATGATAACACTTCCTTCCACATTCATTAAACACATTTAAAGAAGTTCTTGCTGCTGGTATGAACTCAATGTTTTCAAATATACATATTATCCTATATACATGCAGAATGGAGCATTGAGAAGCTTGAGGTAATCAGTAAGTCTGAAAAATGCAGATAATTACTTGCAAACAAGAAGGACCAAAAACTAATGCAATTCAAAATTTAGTGTTACTAGCATGACAACTAAGAAAGCTCCATATAATTCTATGAAGGCTTGTAAGGAAGATCACTGATTTCTAGTACATATGTGATGTTTGCTACTGCTCACATGTATCATATGTACATTGCAGGTAACTGTATACTGTATACTGTACTCATTTGGGTACGTTGGGTGATAAACGTTTAAATTAAATGAATAGCATTACATAGGATGCACAATCTTCACTAGGCACAATATAATCATTCTTTACTACAACCAGCTATTATGATTTTATGCTTTTTTCTCAGTGATTTTGCAACTAAAATAAATATGCAGTAAATGTACTTAGAATCTCAGAATATAGTGTAATGATATTATAATACAACAAACTGATTGTAAATGTACTCAATTACAGTGCTCTTCAGATTTATAGCCCAATGTAATAGGAACAAAAAACAAGACATACTGAACACAAAGATTCATGATCTGGGTGGTATCTCTCTTAAACAAAAAAATTAAAATTCTATACTGCAATGTTGATAGGATTTCACAGAATGAACTCATAATTTTCATAAAGTACAGTTTCGTAAATAAATGTCAGAGGAGGATTTAAAAAATACTGACTATTGGAGTGTGAGATTAAACATGACTGTCGTGTTTTCTGGAATTCAAGTGCTTATTATAAATATTACTTTGCTCTGCGCACTGCTAGTATGACTACAGTATAATATTTTTAGATTTAAGTAGAACACATTAACCATTCCACAAATCAGATTGTTATGTAATGATTCCTGTAACATCAATGGTATGAATAAATATGGAGGGTACTGTATACAGTATATACATATTCTCCTAATATTCTAAAATCCTTAGAGGTTTAAATGGTCTATTTGTTTTACAGAAAATGTACACAGACTAGATAGTTTGCACACATAAAGAAAGAGCCATTGATCTACCTGATTTTACATTCCCAGGATTTCCCAAACAGCTATAAACAAAATTGTTATTAAGGTTAAAAGAGCATTACCCTTTTAGGAACTATGCTGGTCAAGCAAAATATTTTTAAAAGCAGGCTCTCAGTACCATTTGTTTATCAAAGTAGGTGTATTAAGTTTCACATTTTCCACTGAATACAGAGAGGCATTGAAGTTTCATATACATTATACTCAACACTAGAAATCTAAGTGATCTTCGTTAGATCAGTTAGACATAAATCTAATTGGCTTAAATTACATTTAATCTAAAGCATGTTTTATGAATCCTGTACATCTAAATATGTTCTTGATATTTTAACTTACAGCTGTTAGACAAAACTTTGTCCAAGGATTCACGCCACTGTACTGCTTCTTCAGGGGATGGCCTACAAAATAAGTCAAAACTGTAAAAATCGTGTACAAATCTGTGCTTCGAGACATTCTGTTTGGAACAGAAGCCTGTCCCACGTTAGTGGAAATTGAGGACAGAGTCAATGCTATACTGTAACTGAACAATATCGCTCATACTCATTCGAAGTTATTAACATGCAAAGGAACACCTAAAGGTAAATTCCACACAAAAAAGTAGAAATAACACAACATTTTGGCTGTGAAACCTCACCAAGTGCAATTATTACAACATACGTTGTTTCCTAACTTTTTTTTGCTTTCTGAAACTTGTGATGGAGTAAACCTGGTAATGATTGTTGTAACCATAAGTTTTGCTAGGTCTTTTTAAGGTCTACAAAACCAGATCTGTTTCTTCATCACCTTGCTAAAAACAGAAGGTAAAGGTATTAATAGCAGGATGAGGGTCCACAGGATAGGTAAATTTGATTGACTGCATGTAGAAAACAAGAATGTGTCTGAAAGATTAATTCTCCACTACACTGCCTCATTGAGTTATGATGTTAGATGTTAAATTTAACTTCTAACAGGATACAATATCCCTATTTGGACAATCCTGCAGTCTGTTTATGAATTACACACACACAGTCTCATTTTTTATTTTGTATTTATTTTTAAAAATAATTTATTTCTTCGTTTATTTGGTGTTAGATATAATTTACCAGTTGGTTATAAAAAACAATTATTTGATTTTGTAAAAGCCAAGTGAAAATGAATGTACAGTTGCTTCCATTTAATAAATTGTGATTTGGCACTAATTATTTGTGTGATCAGGGCAATAGTCAATCACAACAGTGTAGAACTGGTATAATTGGTTTACCAGGCCATCTGTTCTACTTTAATTTGACTGTGTCTTTAATCCAAATAGAATTATGCTTTTAAAGACAAGTCTACTCAAAAGATGGACAAACAGCCTTGAGTGATAAACAGTGCATTAAAATAGGCAGGATGAAGGGCTCTGTGACCCTTAGATTAATTTATGTCAGTTGTCATTTACATGAGAGGAAGCAGTATTATTTTGTTCTTTATTGTAAGTGAAACACAGTGTTCCTATTTGAAAATCTACCTGTTGCTTTGAAGATTATCAATAATTCAGTATAAAACTAGCAAAATAAAATAGAATACTCTGTTTGAAAAATTTCCTTAAAATCTATACAAATATTGTCAAATGTGTAAAAAGCATTATTTTGTTACTTTATTAAATTGTCCTAAAATTAAAAGACTTGCACTGTAACTTTACAGTTGCAATATATACAGTGTGGTGAAAAAGTAAGAACACTCCCTTAAGATTTTATAGTTTAACATATTTATACAGTACATACAGTACTGTTTCTGACTGTTACATAGACCTCATTAGCTAATAGTAGATACAACTAAACTAATTTGACAAATAGCATGGAACATTCTAATTTCTCATTATTTATTTTAAAAAATCAGCCTGCAATCAATAACTTTGGGTGAAAAGTGATCTTGTGGTTCTCCCCTTAGCAGGAGTAACTTGAATTATTAAAAATTATTAAGTTGATCAGTGGAGAAGGAATTCTGCTCCACTCTTCCTTACAGAACAACTTTAACTCTGAGTTGTCTGAACTCTTTCTTGTAAGCACATTTCTAGATCCTGCCACAGCATCTCTATGGAGTTTGGGTCTGGAATTTGACAGAGGCGAGGTGAAGTCAGCAGGAGAGGGTGTAGCAGAGCTTGTTCGAATACGGTGACATCATCGCCCTCACTGCACATAACAGGGACCTCAGCTGCCTGGGCAGGGGGAGGTCTCCTTTAGCTCCTGCGGCTGGTTCCCTGTTGCATTATACTGGAGACCCAGGTTCTCGCCCCAAGTGTTGCGAGACGAAATGGGCAGCGGCGGTCACGAGCCTCCGCGGAACTGCAGCGGTCACAATAGCCGTTCCAAAATCCCAATTTTTTTCTTTTTGAACCATTTTATCGTAGATTTCCTTGTGCATCCACTTTTGGTTCAGCTTTAACTATCAGACAGAATGTCTCAGTTTTATTTAGAGAATATTCTATATTAGTGTGGAATTCATGGTATACTCAATGACAGCAGGGTGTCAGGGTCCTGAGGCAGAAAAGCAGGTCCACACCATCACCCTGCCAAGATTGTGCTTGATAATTGGTATGAGTTTCTCCTGGTCAAAGGCATTTTTGGTTTTTGACCAAAATGACATTTTTCATTATGGCCTAACAACTCCACTTTTGACTCACCTATCCAGAGCACATTCTTCCAGAAGTCCTGTTTCTCATTCCAATGCTGTGTTGCAAACTTAAGCTATGCAGAAATGGTCTTCTTGAAGAGCAGGGCTCTCCTCCAGTCTATCCTTCCATGAAAACCATTTTTAATCAGTCCATTACTGATAGTGAACTCATGAACTCTGACATTTACCATAGCAAGAGAGGCCTGTTAAACCTTAAAGTCCTTAGGGCTTTTTGAGACTTCTAATAGCATCATTCAGTTGATCTTGAAGAGAATTTGTTAGGATGAACACTTCTGGGTATATTGGCAGTGGGCTTGAATTTTCTTTCTTACCCTGGAATAATGGACTTCATATTGTTAGGCAATGGCTTTGTAACCCTTCTCAGACTGATAAGCAGAAACAGTTCTTGGAACCTGAATTAATAGGCCCCTACATTATTCCATTTCAGCCACCAAAACAATGTTATTCTCTTACACAGACCAAAGTGAGCCTACTCTAGCTTTTCTTTTAAATGCAAGGTCTGCAATTTACAAAGGAAATGAACCACTCCACCAAGTTCCTAGAGGAATGTGCAACATTTATTGGCTATTGTATCTATTTTCCAGTTGACATGAAAACCTTTGCTTTTTTCTGTTCCTCTCTGGCACACATGTGTTTATGTCTATATCTTCTATTCCCCCAGGTCACTATGAGGATGTGTATGCTTCATAATGATGGATTAAACAAACAGGAAAGACAAATGTTTTGACAGAGTAAAAGTATTCAGTAGGAAAAAAAGGTCATTAAAACCGTGTAAAATTTTGCATGAATATAGAGTGACAAAATGCTGGTTACTATTTGTATAGTTGGTAGACTGGAGCAAAATGTCTTGCTTAATCATTTTTTCTTGATTAAGCATTAAGGTTAAGCATAGCAGGAACCTACACCTACAATTATTTAGTGAGTTACATGTGCTTTCTTCCCATGAATGGCAGAATTAATTTATTATGACTCTAATCAATTCATTATGTTACAATATATTAAATCCAAAAATGTATAGATTATAACAATCACAATTTTTATATTAATGTGGTACCTTCTTTGTCGTAGAGTGAAATGCAAGAACCAGGTCACACCTTCAGAAGGCTCAACAGCTGAAATGTTGAGCTCCTCCCTTATTTTTTCCAGCATGGAATCAACCTTTACTTATTCCTTTGCAACCGATACATGCAGATACATCATCGTACTTGAAAAACATTCACTCTATTTTTAAATGGAAATAATAAACTCCCATAGATGATACACATTGCCTGTGGCTGCCATGGTATTTCTGTACAACCTAATCCTTTTTACTTAAACACTCTTTATTTGATTTTTTCTAAAAACATTACACATCTTAATGACTTACTTTTGAGGCTTATCCGGCTTCTTCTCTGGCTTTTCCGGGTAGGGGATAATAAGGTCAATAGCATTCTCTGGCTTTTGAAGCAGAGTTCCCAATTTAATCTTGATCTCCTTAGCCCTTAAAAAAGATTTACATTATTTACATTATTTACTTTTATTGCAAGAAAACATATTTTAAGTGTAATAGAAGCTTTGAAATACACTTAGTTAATAACTTTTGCTTGTCCTTTCCTTGTTTGCAAGTGCTTTAAAATACTCGACATTATTTTTCTGTGAGTGTGCTTAAAGGAATTTTTTGGGAACAAAAATGAATTAAGGCACAGTCTTGAGACAGAATATGAATTGGTGAAATGTAATCTAAATTGTAAATGAATTATTACAAAAAGTGCCTAACATGGTTTAGAATTTTCAAATAAAAAACACTGGGAGAATGTACATAATTTAACAGAATTATTGTTCTTATACACACAGTGTCATGACATTTGGTTTAATAAGACTATAACAAGACTACTACTAAATAAGTAAAAAATAGGTTTTTATATAATTTTCTAAGATTTAGAATAGACAACTTCTTTAAATGTTTTGCTTAGGTACCTTCTTCTGGAAAGTATTGAATTGACCTCTTAAAGGCAAAATATCCAGTAGGCCTTTTCCTTATATGTACAATACAAAACATAATGCCATGCATGTAAAATGTTAACAAAATATCAGCCAACATCTGTGGAAAGCAGAGAGGTGGAAGGAATTCACACTATGAAATGATGTATTTGAAAGGATAAAGAAAGATAAAAAGTATATAAAAACCCAAATAAAGACATTTCTTAATCATTCTTAAATCTTAAATCATTTATAATTTAAATCAAATGCTAACAACGTACTTTTCGTCTTTTAAACATCTAACTGAGCAGCAACATATTGATTAACACTACAGATTGCTACTTCTGTAATATGCTGCTTTTTTCATATGTCAGATAGCATTTTTTGGGCTTTTGTCATCATGACCGGAATTAAAAATAGCTTTTTGGCAAGGATCTTGCGATTTAAGCAGACAAAGATTGATGATGTGCCATTGAGTCCCATACCAGTACTGTATATATACACTTCTAACTGAATTTCTTGTCTGGTGGTTTCTGACCTAATGACATACAGTACTGCTTGATGCATTTGTGCTATAGGGCTTTAGCCCTCTGTGAGATGAATTAATTATAAATGCACCATGCAAAGAATGACAGCTGAAATGCAACTGACAACAAAAAATAAGCAACAGGCTTACAAAGCCTTTAGCAGGTATAACATGGAAACAAAAGGTGTGAATAAATGATGTGATTACATAAGAGAAAAACTGTCATTACATTGTCAGTATGCTTAAGACAAATGTATACCCATATGGCTTTCATTGTAGGGACCATTTGTTGTTGAGTTATGAGGAGAAACATGGTGAAGTGCAAAAATAATATTAATGAACAGTTGTCTGAGAGGTTTAAAACAAAAAAAAAAAGTGAAGACAGATTTTCAAGTAAAGGCCAATGATCCTTTTGTATGAAACTTACAGAGCTGTCTAGAGAAAAAGCAATTTTTTAAAAGTGCTATGTGCTGTACATGTAAATAAGGCCTGAAAACGTTGAAACATAATGTCACCTCTCTAAACATCTGAGTTACACATAGGTTTTTGATAGGTTTTTGAGATTTTACTGAACACAGGTACAGTATATTAATATTATCAGTTCTATGTTCAATCACCTTAGTTTTAGTCAAAGCAGAGGAATACTTTTGATCCATTGAAGTTACAAAAACATTCCAACCAAACATAAATCATTTCTCAAAATGCACATTTGCATAAAAAGAAGCCATGTTAAATTTTATGTGACATTAAATATTAAAAACAAAATCATATTTTATTGTCCATTTATGGAAAGATAAGTGTACATCTCCCTTCTGCTTATTTCACTCTCATTCTGGTAAAAGGTGAATGAGAATAATGAGTGATACAAGATGTACAGTACTTCAAAATACACAGTTAAATTTTTTGTTGCTGAGAATATTCCATTTAATTTTGTTATTTATGCAAAGCAGATTAGAAACAATAGTAATGAACATCATTAGGTTTATCCAAGATTACAAGACAAAATATATATTTGACAACTATTATTTTCTTATTGAATTGCTAGTTGTTCTATGCACAAGTTCCCAGAAGTATGGTTATGGATTAATCTATTTCTAGATTTGCCATTTTTATCCATATTGCCATGGATGTGCACAATTTATAGTTTAGAAAGAGAAAGTATTCACTGAATCTCAGTCTATGATAAACAACATCCCTATCAATGAAAGAAGAAAAAATATAGAGAAAGATAAATAAATGTACATTTAATATTGATGCTAACTTTTATTGTGATGTCCTGGGTAGTGTTTTATAATATAAGTAAGACATTTGTGCATAGACAAGTAATCACAAGTGAAATTATATTTAAAAAAAAAACAGTAAAAAAAGTTAATTTATTTCTCACCTCTCCAGACATGTTTGGGGCAAGGCTGCTAATCCTTTACACATTTTCTTAAGTTTTCACCTTTGGTAGTTACAAGGTCTGTCCACAACTATTACTCCTAGAACAGCCTTTTCTTTTTTGCTGTTGTCTTTCAGCACTTGAGTTTTATACAGCTAGCTTGCTGGCCCAAGGCCAGGGCCTCAGCCAATCATATTGACTCATTTAATTACAGACAAAGGAACACATACATACTTAGGAAAGATTAGGTCTGCAAGCGTCAGATCACTGACATCATCGCAGATGCTTTCCAACACTGTTTCAACATTAGAGACCACTCTTACTCTAGTCATTTGTTCTTTGACCCCTGTAACTAATGAACTTCCAAACCATTTACACTTGCAGTTCTTTTTTGTTTTTATTTTTTTTCACATACCTTTAAGAGAGTATAGAAATTGACCACGTTTGGATTGAAGAACCTAATAGTTCTGTATTACATGTGTTTCTTTATGTGTAACATATGTTCAAGTGCACTTAAACCAGACATTGTTAAGGCTTAATATAGTATATAGTCTTTTACTGTATTTGTATACTTGAAACATAATGTTGCCTGTGTCTTGCTGATCATCATAGCAATGATAGCAATGATGATTGATACAATTGTAAACCCAGTATTTATTTATAATAAAGGTATTTATTGTGGATTTATATCAGTGGGTAATGCCTCTGACTCCAGCACCTAGCTGACAGATTGGAAGGTAAAGTGGAAAATAAATAAATTGTTATCATAGGTTGCACAGCACAGTTTGAAAAAGAGGTGGTCCTTTGTTTAGGCTTAAAACGTACATTATAATGAATGGTGCGCTAACACAAATACTGTTTTGGAATGAGTGGTAAAGAGGACATACTTTATTTGCGGTATCTTTATACAGAGAAAGCACATCTGTTTGCATTTCAGAATCTGTCTTCTGACACACTAAGGAAATGTTCGGAAACAGAATATTTGGAAGCGTACACAAAGTTATATATAATACAATATAAACGGAGAAAGTCTTAGGGTGCAATATGTGTCTATAATCTGTATGAGTTGTCATCATCACAGTCAGCACATACTAAGTGTAACATCTGTACATCTTTAGACTGTGATGTTGATGTACGCAAGCTCTTCTCAGGGGAGAAATACCATCTGTTGTTTAATAGAAGTGGAAACACACCATATATATATATCGGAATTCTAATAAAACAATTCTGGAATGTAAGTATAAACGATAATATGTCCTAATAAAGTAATTACATCAGGAGCTCAGTAATTTCATTTTCCTTACTTTCATACCTCCATACGTTTATAAAATTGTTCATTCCTTTTCTAATTTAGTTTTCTATTAATAACAAACTTAGGACTTTTTTTCTAAAATATTTACTGAACTCTTTGTGTATTACCTGTTTACTAAGATGTACTACTGTTTGTACAAATAAGAATAACTAAATATACCACTGACCAATAATGGGTTAATAATTAAGAAGTTTAAAACCACTGGAACAGTGATAAATATGTCTCGTAATGGATCAAAGTGTACAGTATCTTGTCCCCATGCACAGTAAGGACAATGGTTTGTGAGACACAAATAATCCAAGAACAACAGCTGGAGAATTACAAAACCTGGTTGCACCTTGGGGGTCACCAAGTCTCCAAACCTACAATTAAATACCACCTCCTTGCTAACAGGATATTTGGAAAAGATTCCAGAAATGAACCTTTACTGAGAGCTACTGCCAAACATAAGTGCTTGGAGTTTGCTGAGGGGCATTGTCACTTGGATTGTAACTGAGTGTTGTGGTCAGATGAGACAAAAGTATATTGACCATGCACACTTCTTTGGTCCTGAAAGAAAGCTGCTTATGCAGAAAAGGAACATCATACATACTGTAACATATAGTGGTGGATCTTTCATGTTATGGGGTAGTTTTGCTTCCACTGATCCCAGGGCCTTTGTTAAGCTCATTGGCATCATGAACTCTACTACTTACCAGGATATTTTGTGTCGAAAACTTGGCTGAAGTGGATATTCTGGCAACACAGTGACCCAAAGCAAACATCCCAATCAACAAAGAAATGGTTAATTCAACATCATTTAATTGATATAAACATTTTGCAATTACCATTTCAGTATCCACACTTAAACTCCATTGAGAACCTGTGGTGTTTTAATGAAGAGGGCAGTCAATAAGTGCAGCCTGAAGGCTATCAAAGATCTGGAAAGATTCTGTATGGAGTGATGGTATAATATCCCTCCCAATGTGTTCTCCAGTCTTATAAAACATTATAGAAAAAGGTTCAGTGCTGTTATCCTTTCAAGGAAAGGGTGCACAACATACAAAAACAGGGGTGCCAATAATTGGGGCACTTAATTTCTTTGGAAATAAGTTTATAATTTGTGAAATGTGTGGTTGATTCTATTGAATAATCATTAATAAAGTAACATACAGTTTACTCCACATGTTGTAAAATTACACTATACTGTAGCTCATTACTGTGCTGTTTGTATTATACAGCTTTTTTTGCTTTTTATTAAGGGTGCCAATAATTTGTGAGGTGACTGTAAATACAAATGCACTAAACATGAATAAGTACAAAAGAAGACAGTTTACTTGTTTTTAGTTTCACTTAGAGACAGGGGCACAAATTAGATAGGGCTGCTTGAAATGAGCAGTGATACCTAAGAGCATGAGTTTCCCATGTACTTCTAAGTGGGCGCATGTAGAATGTCATGACATAGAGTTCAGTTTCGTTATCCTCATTAAACCATGATCTTTATTACGTAAGTGATTCCGAGAAAACGAACTAGTGGCTGGACAAAAAAGCTTTGATGACAGTTTCTCTGTATGTTTGAAGCATAAGGGAAAATAAATTACTAGGCACTTACAGTAAAACTGATTGAAAAAAGATTTTATAAACATTTTATATCATATTCAATGTCTCGAACAATAGCAGTAATCTTTTTGTAATAACCACAGTTTGTAATCACTATGTTGTCTAATGTTTGAAATTTGTCTTGCACAAACACCATAGAAGATGATTGCTTTATCTATAGTTAAATTACTTAAAATGTTTAATTCATGATTATAATTTATTTTATTAACAAGTGGTTAAAGTGTCGGCACACTTCTTTGACTTTGGTTACAATGTTTAAAATGCATAATCATTGTGAAGTTGCATTTAAAATGACTTTTGTTAAAATAAGAAGATTCAAAAGAATCACACAAAGTAAATTACATGAAGGATTGTACACAATATTTGAGAGCAATATGCTGTGGTAAGATTGGATTACAAGAGAGCAGAATGTGAGGCCTAATCAGCAGGAACAATCTTTTGTTATCTTTGCTTTCCATAATGCTAGTTCCCTCATCTTGTCCTTCTCTCTTGTTCTTGTCTGTCACTGTTGTTAAATAACTCAAACAAAAACTATCACGTTTGTGTCTGATCAAAAGTAAAAAAAAAAAGATTCCAAGTTTGTTGCTTTGCACAAGCATATTTAACAATAAATAAATATATTCAATATTTTTTCTGAGCAAGGTGGTCTGCAGTCTGATGAGAAAGATATTTTTTAATATTTTGAAGAAATACTGGACTTTGGCCATGTATTTCTCCAGAATAGCGCAGGTATTATTGTACATCAATTATACTATTACTAAAATATTGTTAACCCAATCAGAGTGTAGTTATTACATATACAGTAACAAGTCTTATTATGTTGTATGGAATGTTTTTTTCACAAACGTTTAATGCAAGATCGTTTTTATACAGTACATTCAGGAATTGTGTGTAATGCTTCCTACTCTGTTTCTGTCTTAAAACAATATGTGGTATGAGATAACTCAGAATTCTTTACAAACTACAGTATGTCCTCACCAAAACAACTGCACATTTCCTGGATATTTTCTATTTCCTGGGCTTTTGAGGAGTACTGCAGATAACCGGAAGTAGTTTTTCATCATGCCAAAGTACAACTCATTTAGGTTTAAACAGTAACACATGTACTGAACCTCTAGAATTTCTGCATTTCTACACAGTTGCTCCAGGTGTGAGTATCTTTTAATCACATTGGATGAAATGTGGATTGGTTTTTCACATTTAAAGCACAAACTATTCCAACCAAAACTTAACATAAAATATTTTGGGTAAACCACGGCACATTCATTTTAGGAAAAGAAAATATAAAGTATAAAATATAGATACAGTATATAATGTATATTGGCTCATCTCTCATGTTGAAGTGTTTATTATTAGGAAACAAATGTTGAGTCAAAACCTTTCATTTTGGAATGTCATTTTGATACCTCCCATTCATCGAAAACAATCCCGGAACAGCTACTGTAGATAAAGAAAAAAAAAAGCAAACTACCTACAAGAGAAACAGCCTATTCCTTTTGTTCTGTTTTTTACATTTCTGTACTGTACAGTACTGTACCGTAAATTGAAAACATTGCATTGAAAAGCCTTTTGATTTTATTGGAGCTTTTGTGCAATCATAAAACATTTAAGCTCGGAAGACAGAATGCAGATGCAGTATTAATAGAAAGAGCTTCATGCAAAGCACCAACAGCAGACTAAACTTAAATGTATTGTGAAAAGATGTTTACTTAAGAAACCCGGTGATGGCTTACATAATGTAAATAAAATAAAATAACTCAGTAAATTGCATGCTGAAAGCACGGTTTAAAATGGTTCAAGATTCAAGCAATTATTACATGACAATGTGTTCTATAAGGACTAAGGGCAAAGTCACTTTTTCATTTTGTTTTTGTTAGGTCCTAGGAGTGTGGTACACCAAAATAAAAGATGTTTAAGTAGTACAAGATGAGAGAATGGTGGGATTGAATTTTGTAAGGTGAATAAAAATAAGAACAGAACATGAGAAAGTTTTCAGGATTGGACCGTTGTACTTGGTTGCTAAGACATAATTGATCTGAGTCTGCTATCCAGCTCTTTTAAAGCAGACCCTGGAAATTGTTTCAGTGACATGTCTCAATAACATGCTCCACAACCTTACAGTTATTTTGCTAAAGAAGTGACTTTGTTTTTCAGTCTTTAATGCAGTTCCTCTTAAAAACAAAATATCTCCTTTGATCTATGTTTCACCACTGAAGTGAAAAGTAAAAC